TACAGTCGACCCCCCTATAAGATATAGATACGTTCCAATTTATTAGGAATCCGATTTCTTACAAGTCGTTCCAATCACAGCCCGACACGTGTCAAGTTTACGGACTACGGCTGATTGAAAGGTTTTCTTCCATAAAATTAATCGATTCTACACTAATCCGACTCAACATTTCCAAAATACGTATATTTTTTCGTAGTTTTATAGGAATCGTAATTATAGGGGGTTCGACTGTATTAACCTGTGATAACATGCAGTTTTTTTTATAGGAGTATACACAAAAGGCAGTGATTTTTTGCTGATCCTTCATCTATAATTACATTGCACTTAATTTCTATTCCTCAAAGAGGCATCCCCGATCTAACCAGCTGTTTGATGCAGTTTTGTCAACAAAATCCTGGGCCAGGTCATAGGGATGTCTGCCATGGAGTGCCTTTCGAGCCCAATGGTGTGCTATTTGAGTCTGCTAGAGTTACTGCTTTATGTAATTGCGATGTTTTTTGTTTCCTGTAGAAAAACTCTCGCAGTGACTGTATTTGTTTGTAGCGAAGGTTAACTATGTCAATCAGGCCACGTCCGCCTTCTTTACGTGGAAGGGTTAATCTTTCTGTAGCGGATTTAAGATGATGTTGTTTATGCTTAGTAAGTGTTGTTCTTGTTTTCCTTTGGAGTTGCTCAAGATCTGTGTGAGTCCAATGTATAACTCCAAAAGAGTATGTGAGTACTGGGATGACATATGTGTTTATTGCTTTAACTGTGTGTTTTGCATTTAACTGTGTTCTAAGTATAGCGTTTAACCTACTTTGGTATTCTTTAATTAATCTTTGCTTTATTTGTGTATGTTCTGTTAGTTTGGCCTGTTGGAATCCTAAGTACTTGTAGAACTCGCCCTCTTCCATGGATTCAATAACGTCTCCATTTCCAAGTGCAAAATCTTCTTTCTTCAGGATTCCTTTTTCTATGTGAAGTGTTTTGCATTTGTCTAAGCCAAACTCCATTTGTATGTCCTTAGTGTATGAATGTGTGATTTGTAGGAGTTGATGAAGTTGTTTTTGTGTGGATGCATAAAGTTTTATGTCGTCCATGTACATGAGATGTGAAGTGTAAACTGTGTTGTTTTTTCGTGTCTGATATTGTAGCCATATTGCGTGTTGTTTAACATGTTGGATAATGGATTCAGGGCTAGGCAGAACCAGAGAGGACTCAAGGAATCTCCTTGAAAAATTCCTCGCCTAATGAATATTTCGTTTGTTTGTATGGAAGTGTTACTAACCCTGAGATGTAGTGTTGTTCTCCAGTGCTGCATAGTGTTTTCGAAGAATGCAATGAGTGATGGATGTATTTTGTACATGTGTAGAATATGTAGCAGCCAACTGTGTGGAACGCTGTTGAATGCTTTTCTGTAGTCTATATATGCCATGTGTATGTTTCTGTGTTGTTTGTGTGCTTGTCATAGAATGACTGAATATACGAGTAACTGTTCTTTGCATCCCTGTAATTTCTACGGCAACCTTTTTGTTGTTCTGTAAGAATGTCGTGTTCTTCAACATGTTTGTATATTTTGTTTGTGATACAGGATGTCAATAATTTGTAGAGTGTTGGAAGACATGTAATTGGTCTGTATTGTGTGGGGTCCGTGGTGTTGTTGTTTTAAGGTTTCATGTAGGTGATGCCCTGAGTAAGAAATTTTGGCATGTCTTGTGAATTGATGATGATGTGTGTTAGATGTTTAGCTAGTTCCTGGTGCAGTGATTTAAACTTTTTGTACCAGAAATTGTGAATGTTGTCTACACCAGGTGTCTTCCAGTTGTGTGTTCTGTTAACAGCGTAGCGAATGTCGTGTATGTTTATTTCAGCACAGGGCATAGTTGGTATGTTATGCAAGTTTCTGTTCTCCTCCTTGATCCAGCCTGCATGAGCATTGTGTGTAACAAACAGCATTGGACCAAAGAGAAGACCAATAAGTTGTGAGTTCTGTTTCTGTTGGTGTGCCACTGTGCTGTGTATCAGTGTTTGTTTTGGTACTGATTTGTCTGTAGAAAAGCTTTTCATTGTTTGTGAATAATTTATTTTGTTGTTTTCGTAATGTACATGTTTTGTATCGTTTGAGTCTACGTGCTTTGACTGCGAGTTTCTATTTTAGTGTATCGATGTATTCTGTAATGTGTGTGTTGTGATGTTCATGTTTTGTGTGTGTTGTGATGTTCATGTTTTGTGTGTGTTTTAATTTTCTTGAAAATGTTTTTGAGTTGTTTGTTTAATTTGGGTGTTATGTTGTTTTTAGTGTATTGTGCCAGCCTGCCTAACTGCTGTCTAATGTCATTTATTTGTGTTTCTATTCTTCTTTGCCAGGCAGGCTTGTGATAGAATTGTTTTCTGTGTGTTTGTCTGCGATTGTATTTTCAGTCCATGGTGTGTTACTACTGTGACTGCCCCAGAATAAACTAATGTATGAATGTCTGAAAGTATAGAAATTGAATGAATGTAGTTTGGTAGTAAATGAGTGTTTACATAATTTAGTGTTTTTCCTACTACCTTTGACATGTTGATTTTCGGTATTCGTGGTCTTTGTGTAGGATCTGTGCCTGTATATTTAGTGAGTGTTTCCTGAAATATAAGTGAGAGTGTATTAACTAAATCTATATCTATGTTATCAGTGATGGATGAGGAAGTGCTGTAGTATCATTAATGGTAGTTGTTGTATGTGTACTATTATCAATGCTTGTTGCTGTATTATCCTGACAGGTTACATGATCTTCATTAATGTTAAATGTTTCTGCCTGTTGATGTATTTGATCAGCAACCTGTTGTTTGATAAGTTCAACTGTTGGTTGTGGGATAAGATTGTTGTGTATAATTGTTCTTTTTTGACCAACAACTCTTTGTTGATGTCATGTTTGTTTCAAGTCTTGTGATAGTGTAGTAAGTATGAATGATAAACCTGTTCATTTCTATTGTCCATTTCATCCGTTGGTGTGGTTTTCCAGCCTTTGTGGTCTGTGGATGCATTGCCACAGAAACACCAAGGCTAGGTTGTTTCTTCACATATGTTGAGGGCATTGCAGTAGCCATGCTTGGGCCGGCGCTGCTTTCTCCACCAGTAACCAAGGGAGACTGTGACCTATTTTTCGAACATGAGTCTCCGCCTAACCCATGAAAGCGGAGCTTGTTAACCCGGGTGACGTCCAAGCCAGTATCACACTTTGATCTGGTTACTACCATGATAAATATCTCCACAGAATGTGGGTGTGGTCACAATTAGCTTCATTTCTCCCCATAGACATTACTGGCATGGGTGTCCCTACCAGGAGCTTGTGCTCCAGCCTGCATTGTCCTATGGATCAGCAAAATTACTGGGCTCTCTCTCCCACTACGACCAGGTGGTGACCACGAGAGAGTTTTTGTTATTATTATTATTATTATTATTATTATAAATGAAATGATTTACCTGATGATAATCATTTTGGAACATAATTTTATATTAATTATTTCAATTATTTTAAAGTATTTATTATTCAACTAGTAGTCATTCTGTTTTTTTTCTTTATTTATATATATATTTCATTTTCAATGTTGTTATTAAGTATGAATGTGATAAATTATTAATTGATATAATATTTTTAAAAACTATCTCCTTAAAAATTATTAACATTGTATCTTATTAATAAACACTCTATTCATTATTCACATCTTTAGGTGTAAACCTAAAGATATGAATAATGGCATGTTCATTAGTAAGATTAATAAGAGAACCAAACTTATACATATAGAATGCGACTACAATATTTATTTCATTAAGTTAAATGGCAAAAATTTGTTTACCTCATGTGAAACATATAATACCTATGTGGTTCCAAAATGAAAATATTATATATATAAATCTCATTCAAATATAAATGAGAATTTAATAGAAAATTCATGTTTTTTATCAATAAATTAGACATTTTATTTTTTATTTTAAAAATTTAATACCTGAAACTGATTTTGCTGAATCATTATTTGATCTCTCCCATTTACTACTGCATTTTGCTTTAGAAGATACTATTTTCTGATTTTGTGATTGCTATTAAAAGAAAAAAAATGATTAAATTGTATAAAAATTTAAATTTAATAAAAATAATTATTTTAAATAAAATCATATTTATATTAAAACAAATTTTGAATTTATTAATAACATTTTTCATTAACACATCATGACAAGTAATACTAGTCAAACATACTTTATGGATTGAATATATTCCATCCATCAGGTACCATCCATATACAATCCATCAGGTATGTTTGACTTTATTTTTAAAATATTTTTTTTTTGTTTTTTAATATATGCAATCCTATTGCATATATTAAAAAACAAAAAAAAAATTTTTAGTTACACAAAATACTTATTTAAATCAGTAATATTTAGTATATCAATTGTTCTTTAATTTATATTTAGAACCAGTACTATGTTTTAACACTAAATAATAGCATAGCTGAAGACAATTATAGCAAGACCTCATTTAATGTTGTCAACTTATTCTTGAAAACTGAGACATTAATTAATTTAAGCAAAAACAACATATAATAAAACCAATTTTACTGTAGACTAAATAATATATATAACATATAACTCAGTTAATAATATTCTAATTTCATAATGTTTTAACCACCAGCATTTATTTTCTACTTCATAAAATCAATTTTCTGTTTATAAAGAAAATTCAACAATAATTGTTAATGATTACAAATATACTGTTATCTTTTTTCAATAATGTTATAATGAAATAAGATTAAATGATGACTTGCTGCATAAGAAGAAATTCTTTGATGTTTATTTCATATGCACACATATATCACACAAAAAAAAAAAACTACATGTAAACTTTCATTTAGCATAACGTTCAATAATACAACAAAGAATGTTAATAATTTTTATTCTAAATGTAACTAAAGGCATTTAGTGTATGTAAACATTTTTAATATCCTCTTCAATCCAGGTTCTTCTAATTTGCAATATCATATAACATTTTATAAAAGTTACTTTAACTTGATATACCAACTTCACATTACATCAAAGAGTTATTTGCATAATCTGAATAATTCCACTTTAACCTTTTTTTTTTTTTTAGAGTTGGCATTCACTAGTATTATTCAAAATTGTTTTAAAAACAATAACTACATTATTATATTTTTTTGCAATGTCATGTACAGCTGATACTGGTTCCAAGTGCTATGCCAAACTAAAGGCATAGCTATCCAAACAAGTGTTACATTAAGCTTCTGTGTTATTGGTATTTGTGTCAATATCTAGAAACTTCCTAACAAGAAGATGTGTGTTCAATATTGCAGCTTTCTGTAGTGCCATGTATATGTTTTTATTATGTTGGGTGTAGTGAGTTATACTCGATTCACACTGGTGGCTGTGTACTATGCCAGACCAGAGTCAAGGCATAGCAACCAGAAACTAAAATTAAATAAGTGTGTCTGTGTCTGTATTCAGGAATTTCCTAACAATGTGGCATGTATTCAATATAGTGGCCTTCTGTAGTGTGATGTATGTATTTCTACTCAATTGTAATGTTCCCAGGCTTTTGTGTAGTGTGTGTGGTATCACACCTGTACAGGAGAGAATGACAGGTACAATAAGCACCCTATCCATCCTCCACAGATGCCTTATTCCCTGGGCGAGTTCTGTGTACTTGCTAATTTTTTCAGTGCATGTGTTTTGTACATTGTGAGTGTTTGGAATGGCTATGTCTATAATGTATGTGATTTTATTGTGTTTGTCAATGAGTGTGATGTCTGGTCTGTTGTGATAAATTGTTTTATCTGTGATTATGGCTCTGTCGTAGTACATTTTGTGCATGTTGTTTTCCGATACTGTCTGTGGAATATACTTGTAGTATGGTTTGTGGATGTCTACCAATTTGTGTTTCTTTGCAAGCTCTTGGTGTATTATATTTGTTACTTGATTGTGTCTTTGTAAGTAATCTGTCTGTGCCAATAGCTTGCAACCAGAAGTGATGTGTTGTATAGTTTCTGGCATGTTATTGTTATTATCAAAATTTAGATTAAAATTTACCTGAACAACAGAGTTTTGATCTTTACATATTTCTTTAAATTTATTTCTTTCTGATTCTAAATGCCTTTGGATTATTTCAGCTTCATGGCGTTGCTGATTCTTAAGAGTTTCATGTTTTACTCTAAATTCTTCTTCCTAAATTTAAAAATAAGTAAAGTTATAAATATCTACTACTAATCCCAATAAAGGATGCATTTTCTAAAATCCCATTTTTAAAATGGAAGAGAGAGAAAATGTTTCAATTTAATTATCTTTTCATATTTATTGTCTTGCTTTCCAAAAAAAACAATTTGTTAAGACTTATTAATTTAAAATGAGAGAAAATTAATACAATTTTTTTTTGTTTTATTAATAATTAATATTGCTAGAAATACAAAATAATAAATAATAATATAAATTTTGTAATTAATTAATTTATTTATTTTACATTAAATTTTGGAAATGCCATAAGGCAGTTGATTTCCATCCCTCATTACACACACACACAAAAAAAAATACCCTCTACACACTTGGCAGTGCAGATCACAATTCCTTTCATCATTGCTTTCAAGGGTATATAATATGATAATTCCTTCAACTGTTTATAATATAATGAAATAAACTTTAAAATATTTAGTAATAATATAAATCTGTAATGCACCACTAGTCAAGTGTGCATTTGAAAACCCAAAATATTTTTTTTTAATGATATTGGCACCAATATCAAAACTGTATAAAATAAAAATTCTTGACACCATTATTACCACTTTTGACATCAGAATGATTACTTCATGTCCCCGATATCACAACTTTACATAGCAAAATAATTAAGAATGTAAACCATAGTCACTGAACGAAGGATCATACTTTATTGTACTAAAATGTGTTTCGTGCACATAAGATAAAATGGTAATAATTTGAAAACAATTGATCTATATATGCATGATTGCAGTTTCTGTACCTGTAAGGTTTACAAGTGTGTTTTTGGAGATATCACTGATTTTTCATTTCATGTGCTATAAACAGTTACATTAGTTCACTCATCTAGAATGTATTTATTTGTGGAAGGCTGTAAGATGAAAATTGTTGCATATGGCTGTAAAATTAATTAATTTCTAATATTTAATATTTACATAGCCCAAGAATTTGGCGTATCACTTGGCGTGTTTATCAGACATATTATCTGTGATTGTTTTTGTTTTCTGCAAATAGAATTTGCATTCAGGTGGGTTTGAATTTGCATTCCATGCTAAAAGAAATGATGATGATGATGATTCATGCTCCTTAACAATGTATATCACATAATTTTCTTTGAATAAATGTTATACATATAATATTTGAGTATTTTTTTGGCATAGAACGCATTATCATATTTTACATTAATTTATATGGGAAAGTTGTTTCACTTAATGAGTATTTCATATTACAAGTAAGATTTTGGAACGAATTATGCTTGTTAAGTAAGGTTCCACTGTATACGCAAAACAAGTCATATGCAAATCCTCTAGTGTTCCATTAAGTATTATAGTTGTTTTATCACTAACAGACAGCTTGGTAAGTAAATGATCCATAATTTAATAAAAATAGAATAATAAAAACAAATCTCCTCAAATTTTTAAAATTTGAATATGTATCCAATAAATGACAAATATGCATTGGTACCTTCTACTTTCAATAATTCTAATTTCAAATGTTCTAGAATTAGAGGTGGGTAATTCCAGTTATAATTAGTTCAAACTTGAAACTACTAGATACAGTTCCACATTGAGTTCAAATTCCAGAACAATTGACAGTTCAAATTCCAGAACAATCAACACTGTTTATTTTGTACTTTTAGGAATACAGCTTTTAATGGAACAGTAAACTCTATCTGGATTTGAACATAAAACTAATTGGAAATGTTCCATGACTTTTAAGAAATAATGAAATTAGTTTTGAGTATTTTAAAGTTATAAAGATATTTCAAAAAGTTACACTTTTATTTGAGTTCTTAATCATTTGTTTTTATTAGTAAACTAGCAGATATGTACAACATTGCTCAGCAAAAAGTAAGGATAAATATTAAAATAAAAACTAAATTACAAGTTTGATTATTTTCAACCTATCATTGTTATGTTTATCGCAAAGTATCAAGAAGATCAAATCAGGAGGAAAGTGGGGTGTTAAAATTTCATGAAAGTGTATATTTTTCTTGGAGTCCCAGAGAATAAGCAAGAAAAATTTGGTGAAGATCAACCAAAAACCTAAGAACAGAGAGAGACAAATATTCTATTTTATATATATAAAATTTATGAGAAACTGTCCAGTCCAACAGTAATTCTGACAGATTTTATGATTCCATAGAACCATCTAGTACAACAGACTAAGCAGTTCCAAGAAACCATTCCATTGGAAAAGTTTTGCTCTTGGATCAATTCCAGCAGTTCCAATTCCAGAACTGGATTTTTTCCATCTCTAATCCAGAGTTCAAACATTATATTAATATAGACTAATATAATTTAAATAAGTTTAATATCATGTTATTTAAAAATTTTAACTTTTATTAAAAAAATTAAAATGGCATACATAACAATGAGCTTGCCCCAAGTGGACATTTCGTGAAATGTAACTTTTTTGACTGAAAGAGAAAAGAAGAATTTTTAAGTGAAATGAAACATATCAATAAAAATTGATATCCCAAGAACAAATGGACAGAATTTGATGAAATTTGATATGTAGTTCGAAAAAAATTGGCAGATGATGATGATACATATATCTTTAGATTTTTAATAAAATGTGAATTTGGATAGACAGAAAGTGTTCTAATTCCAGTACAGTAAGGTTTGCTTTGTTATGCCATTTATTCATTTGTTCATTCACTTACATGATGGCTTGTCTCTACTGAGCCTTATAATACATGGTCTGTTCAAAAAGTATTGGACCTTTTTTTTCCAAGTAAACCAATGATGCGCGAGGGGCCTCCTTTGGTGGAGTTATGGAGGGGACAGTCATGCACAGCCCTGAATTTTTTCCCGCCTGCAGGAAGCGTCACTTGTTGGCAATCGGCCTATGAGTGAGGTCATGTAGTGCGCTCTTGTCAGATTCCACTAAGCTGGAAAATGACTGAACAACGTGAGCAGCGATATTACATCAAATTTTGCCAAAAACCTTGGCAATACCTGAGCGTAAACCATTTGCAAGATTCAGCAGGCTTTCGGGGACGATCCTCGAGGCCAAAAAAAGCGCGGCAGGTCCGCAGCAATATCAAAGGTCATGTTGACAGTTTTTTCGACTCTCGTGGGGTGGTGTGTCGTGAGTACGCACCACAAGGCCAAACCATCGCAAAGGAGTACTACCAGGAGGTCCTTCGTCGTCTTTCCGATACAGTGCGACGCAAATGACTGGATCTGTGGTCGATCAAAACTTGGCAGCTCCATCGTGATAACGCATCCGCCCATTCTGCGCATCTGCCAAACACAATACTCCTGTGGTTCGTCATGCTCCGTACTCTCCCCACATGGCTCCGTGTGACCTTTGACTATTTTCCAAGCTGAAAATGCCGCTAAAAGAAACCTGAATTTAGTCGAGAGAAGACATCGTGCGGAATGCGACGGACCGGCTGATGGCCATTCCAAAAGATGCGTTCCAGCAGTGTTTCCAGCAATGGCAGGAACGCCGGGAGAAGTGTATACATTACCAAGGAGACTACTTTGAAGGGGATTAGGGTTTTGTACTTCAAAGTCAATAAATTTATTTTTGCCGACCAAAGGTCCGATACTTTTTGAACACACCATGTATATGTATGTAATTATACTTGCACTACTTGAAATAAAAACATTTGAGTATTTCTGATGTTCATGCTATAAGTCAGAGATATTAATAACATATGTAATACTAATTAGGCATTTATTTCTTATGCCAATAAGATGTAAATACCTAATTGTATCAAATGTTTAAGTAAATTTATTATAAATATCAGTAGTCTTCTGAGATTCACAACATAATTTAGCAACTACAAACTTACCAATATATTTATTGAAACAAGAAAAGATCAAGTTTTATTCAATTTTTCAATTTTATTTAATCTCAACAAGAATAAAGCTTTAAAAAGTCATCAGCATACAAAATAATGACTTTTAAATTTGTAATACAGTAATACCCTGACTTACGCGAACCTAAAGTTACGCGATTTTCAAATCTCGTCAATTCGTCTTTTGTTTGAGCGCCACGCAACCTTTGATTACTCACTCCCCCGACACTATTGTTCAGCTTACATGTTTGGACATGTCGCGTGGAATCCACACATAGCTACAATTTATTTTGTGTTATTTATTTCTGTCTTTGTTATATCTACGGAGACTTGAGAGACTCTACTATGTCATCCAAATGAAGTAGAACTAATTCTTCTGCATCAAACAAGAAAATAAAAGTTTTATCTTTGGAATGTAAAGTTAACATTGGGTATGTTTGTAAAGTCGAACAAGTTAAACGAGAATGACGTCATCGTTATTCCTATTTCGTTAGACTTTACTAACGCGTTTAACTCATTATTATTAAAGACTTTGATACAAAAATGAAAATTTGTGAATTGGCAAAGAAGTTTGATCTACCGGAATTGTCAGTCAGAACAATTATAAAAGGCAAAGAAAAAATTCTCGAAGCTGTGAAAAATGCTCAATCTTTAAATTCAAGCATCATTCGTAAACGTCACAGTATTATCGCTGAGATGGAAACAATGTTAAAATTATGGCGTAATAATCAAGTAAATGTGAAAAATTGTAAAATAATATAGGCCTAATTTGTTATATATATGTATTATCTAAGATTTTATTAAACATTTTTTTTTCTAAATTATTGTTTTCTATAGTCTCCGGCCCCAATTAAAAATTATTTGTATGTATTTATATGCGAAATTATACCCCGACTTACGCGAATTCGACTTACACAGTTACCGCTCGGTCCCACCTATCGTGTAAGTTCGGGGTATTACTGTACTGTATATAATTTTATATAACATTTTGTAATTATATAATTATTTTCAATTAATAGGCAAAATTTTAATTGTGCAAATTAATATTGCATAAAAGAATAGCTTTCTGTTTATATTCTGTAAAATATATGAAAGAAAGCTATTACAATATTCTTTGTCTTCTTTATTATATAATTTGTTGTAATTTCTTTGCATCATCATGTAACATCACTATTTTTGATATCAAAATTTATTTATTATCAGAAAAATCAATACTCTTCAAAAATATATATTCATTATAATTTATATAGTTCATTATATAGTTTCATTATAATAATCTTGCATCTTGAAATGTTGTTTTCAATAGGTAAAAAGGGGAATTCATAATTCTGACCAAAATTAATAAGTATAAAATGCTACAATTTTTTGAGAGAATAGTCATCTTTTCTTTCATTCATTTCGGTAATTGAAATATATTACACTATACTGTTCATCAATGGTGTATTCAGAGGATTTTACTTTGGAGGGACCAAGGGATCCTGGCACCCCCAAAGGAGGGGGAAACACTAGAAAATTTTCCAAAACTCTTTTCCTAATTAAAATTATTATTTTATAGTTGTGTCTTCTATTTCTATACTATGGTCACATAAGGTAAAAATTTTATTAAATTTGCATTAAAAAATTTTATCCATTAAATTTGGCTCCCTCAAGATTAAATCTTGAAGTGCACCACAGCTGTTCATCCAATTAGTGCTCTCCTACAGTAGTACAAATTCTATCTCAATTTCTCTGTGTACATGTTTCCATTGCCTCCCATATCCTGCCTAAGAGTGTAATAATTAAGAAAAGAACTTTTCTTGATTTGATATATTGCTTCTGAAAATTTTTTGTGATATCATAAAAACAGGAAGTCAACCCTAAATGACTATTTTCAAAAATGGCAAAAACACATGAACATATAATCTAGTCCTTTTACAGAAATATAGACTATTTATTTATAATACTGTTCAATATTTATGATTTACATTAATTAATACAGATATTTCTGGATGGGTAATATATATTTGTACAATATAAGTCCATGAGTTTATTTTTATATATTATGAGTACTTTCAGAACAACAATTTCAATACACACTTTTTGGTTTATGGGAAATCTTCAGTAAATTCAAAGCTAAAAATTATAAGATAAAAACATCGTTTATACCACCTATCTGCAGTTTATTGATGTTAATGCAAATGCACTATTTAGAGCTGCACTTTACTGTAAATTGGATTACCAATGGATCAAAAGAATTCAATTTGATCAACCACCAATAAATTCAAATTCTTTCTTTCAGTCCATTCAAAAGCCTAAACAAAGCTAAATTAGGAAACTGAGTTTATTTCCATGTTCTTCGCATTATCAAGTAAGATCAATTTAGAAAGTTCTAAAGCCCATGAGACAACTAAAAACAGGTAACAAATACTGCAGGAAAATTGAACATTAATTCAAGTTGATGAATCTGAAGAATCTGCAAAATTAAAATGATGGTGGTAATAAAGATATTAATAATAATATTGAGATACTGGAAAGAAGTGATAAAAAAGCTGATGTATATTTCAATTATTCTGACAATTATTTGTAATGTAATGTTTATTAATGAAGTTTCAAAAAGTAAGCCTGAGCTTATTTTTATTGTCATTATTTTAAGCTGAAATCGCTTAATTTATTAAGTTAATTTATCTATTAGTTACTTAAATATCCAATTGTCTATATATATATACACAATGCTGTGATGATTTCATAGAGCAATATTTAAGTTCAGATATATTCCTAGCAAATAGAATTCTAAGTACTAACAGGGATATCATTACACTTAAAAATATTTGTAAACATATTGAAAAAACAATATAAATCAAATTCAAATTTGAGGTATACCAGAATATCACAATTAATATATAAATAATCTTTAATTATATAAATAACAGATACATTAACAAAGTAATAATATATTAGTAAAGTTAGAACATCTAGGCACTAAAAATCACATAAACAGTTATATTATTTATGATCTTTAGTTCCTATATATCCTAACTTTATATATCAATTACATTTAAATTAAATTATCTCAAAAATAATGTTTAAATGAAATCATAAATCTTTTGAAAAACACAAAAATTATTTTCAAAAATCAACAAAAGGAGGCATAACAAGAAACTTTAATAGAAAATACAATAAATATTAACTACTTACAGGTGTTAAATGACTTGTTACAGTATGGTGCTGTATATTAGTTTCCACTTTAAAACCCTCATTTTTATTTGATGTTAAACTATAATTAATTAAAATATTTAAAATAATTCAATAAATTCTAATAATTTATAATAATAATAATAATAATTATTACAGTACATCCAAAAAATATAGATAATTTATGTTTTTATTTTTAAAAAATATTAAGTATTTCTTAACAATGCAAGTGATGGTTATTATTTATTTATAGCACAGTGCAATGTTATATAATTGTTTTTACAATATTTGACAGTTACATAAAGTGTTAAATACAAAATACTTTTGTGATATCCCAAAAATATAGATAAATTTAAATTTTGAGCAATAGTTCATAATATAAATTGATGAAAATTGTTTTATTATGAAATAGAACTGCCATTATGTTTAATGACTTCAAAAATGCAATTAGGCATTGATTTAATTAAATTGTGTAAGATTTCTGGATCCATTTGAAACCAGCACTCAATTATTTCTTGTTTAAGCTCTAAAACTGTCGTAAAATGTCTGTTATTAGAATTAATTTTCAGAATAAAAATGCCCCATAAGTTCTCAATAGGATTAATAGCCAAACTCCTTGCCAGTCACTTCTTAACTTGAATATTATGATCTTTGACCCACTTAGTTGTTGAACATGAACAATGAATACAGTAATACCTTGACTTACACGAACCCGGAGTTACACGATTCTCAAATCTCGTCGATTCGTCTTTTGTTTGAGCACCACGCAACTCTTGATTACTCAGTCCTCCACACTTTTGTTCAGCTTACATGTTCGGACGTGTCGTGCAGAATCGACACATAGCTACAATTTATTTTGTTATTTATTTCTGTGTTTGTTATATCTACGGAGCCTTCAGAGACTCTATGTGGTGATTTCTTGTAACTGTGAACGAATCAAAAGAAGAGATAAGATTAACGAGAACATTTATTAGCTTACATACATCCGACTTGGATTTTACACAAATTGCGAAATTATACCCCGACTTACGCGGTTATCGCTCGGTCCCACCTATCACGTAAGTTTGGGGTATCACTGTACTGCATTGTCCTGTTGGAAAATCCAATCAGGTCCTCCACTTTCTTCTCGAATAGGTAATAAATTATTTTTTAGGATTTCTTGATAACTTTAGTAATTTTAACTAGTAGACAAACATCTTAAAATTTAATAAACCATAAAATCCAAAGCAGCCCACACTATATAGAACCACCACTATGTTGCCTGCTGAAAAAATTGTACTCTTCTTTTCTAATATCATGCCAGTAATGAGCCCAACCATCTGGCCCATCCAAATTAAATTTCTTTTTATCACTGAAAAGAACTGAGAGCCATTGGTCATTCCACAGCATGTGATCTTTAGCCCACTGCATTCTTGCCAATTTGTGTTGTGGTGGTTTTTTTCATCATAGCAGCAAATTTTATGTGAAACTGCTGAAATTCTTCAATAAACAGTGCTTTCTGATGTTTTTAATTCACTTTTAAACAAAATTTGACAAACTGATTTGTCCTGCTGTGATGCAAGGTGCACAATTCAATTATCATCTCTTTGAGATGTGATTTTGGGTCTTCCTGATCAATGTTTAGAAGGTTTTGGTAATGATTTTCCCAAAATTTTATAAATTCCAGGATAGATCTGTTCATTAAAACAGCAATTTCTTTGACATGACAGTCTTCTGCTTTTAATTTCCACATTCTTGCAATTTCTTCCATACTAAACTCTCTTCCATGTGGCATTTTTGAAAGTTTTGATTCAATATTCAAATTATTACTTGATAACAAAGTTCAAGTGCTACTTGATGTTATTTATTATTATTTTCATAATTTTAAGTTTCTTATGTTTGAAATTTTACAATTCTGTTTTATTATCTATACTTATGGGACAGTGAAAAATATATTTTTGTTGTTAAATTATTAATGTAATGATGTTTAATTTTGAAATAATCAAAAATCAGTGTAAAGTAATTTGCAAATACAAATGAAATCATTTACATTTCTCTTAAATTCCTAACAATTTTGAAAAATAGTAAAATGTTGATTATATATGCTTTTAAGTTGCACTGTATTATAATAGATTGTGATAACAACAATAATAATAATTATAATTTTTTTTATAAAAATATTTCTTTTGTGAATGATTTCAAGAATAAATTTATACTGTATTATTTTGTAGTAAAAACATCATGATTTCTTTATTACAGTAGAGCAGCGATTATCCGAAAGAATTCCAGTCGGCAAATTTAAATTTTCGCCAGTGCTGTGGCACTGCAATCTTTGACTATGTCTTGGGCTACTCAAATATTTTACGTTTTTAATACTAAATTAACTTCTGAAGTATAATTTTTTATTGTTTTTATATTTTTCAATATATTTATTTTGTTTGTACAAAATAAAAAAATAATTTTTAATGATACAATAGTCTTCGTTAGGCTTAACATCGACGAAAATTCAACGCGAAGCGACA